ATAGTGTAACGAAAAGATTTCAACGACACAGAGCCGGTAACACAAATAACAGACTTTATCGGCCCGATGACGTTAATAACTATTTCCTACATAGAGATAAAGATGTGGAAATTAACGTATGTAACAATGTCTGAGCTGGACTGTCACTGGCCTGCATCGTCACATCGTGAGACTGTATTTTTAAATGTTTTTGTTGAACATTCCAAAAGTTATTCTTCGTGAGGGACATAAAACGTTCGCGGCCTTATACTCAAGACGTGTTCTTTGGCACCGATTGGGTCCATGTATAAATGCATCTAGCTAAAGCACTTAAGGGACGCATCTACGTGAACTATTATGATTCATTGGGAAGTGGCAATACGTGCCAGAGTCACAATACGCACTACAGTTTATTTACTATAGGAATGTTTACATGGGCATAACTGTCTGCAAGTTAGGTGGTGTGAGTACTTTCATTGTAGTCCAACCAATTAGGGACGTGCCAACGCAACGTGCGATCGCTCATTTCCATTAATTTCCGTCGTGCAACTTGCCTGGGTTACGAGCGATAAACTTCGCTACTTGTGTGCATGATCTGTTACAGGACGGCGAGGTGACAGACACGAGGTAACTAAAGCACAAGACAAGTCTTCCTGTTGGAGACCCTGAGAGGGAATGCAACCTTGAACTTCCAATTGTAAAGATATATAAACTAGCTTTTTTGCCAATCACAGAAGGCAGCTGAGTTTATTATAAGCAACAACGCTTGTTTTCCCAGATATATACAATAAATATGTTACAATGTGTCCGGTAAAGTGAAATTATGCAGGCAAAGCTGCGAAGTGGCTGGTGTACAGATTTCGATTTAATTTATATTCTTTAAATTTCAAGTTATATGACAAAAAAGGCAATGCCGTATCATTGGGAATTTTTTCCATGCACCCCACTAAGTCATGAGGCTCGCAACATGACTTAGATACAAACTATAAACGTTTAATGGACGATGTAAGAGAATAGGTATGTCAACTGCCATTTTGAACCACGTTTTTAGGTCTAGTTCTATTGCACACCGCGCTGGGAACGATCATTTTTGGTCAAGACGGCGGGCCATATGAACAACTTACGTCGTATTGTTTCCTTTTAAACACGATTTATATGTGTAGTAAATTACACATGGAGAGGTAAAATAATCATAGAAGTTTGTAAAACGGTTCGAAAGTGCGAATGTGTGATACTAGTAATGATTCCTGTAAATCTTATCAAGTAACTTTGTTTTCTTTTCCGAAGCGTGAAAATAGTCATAAGAAATGGGTATGGGTGTCACAGAAGAAAGAGGAAATTAAACAGAAAAATTAACATTTGTAAAAACCAGCTGTCACCAGATTATTGTTATGAGACATATGGTGAGAAAACATCCTAAAAAGCATTCTTAAACTATCAATAAGTAATTAGTAAAATCTTCTTCAGCCATTATTGTGAAATCTAACTAACCGAAGTATTTATTGCCTGTATATTATCAATTTAAAAAAAGTTTTAAAATTGTCTAAGAGCTAAATTGAATTTTATATACAAATGGATGTTGGTATATTTAAAAGCGGTAAACTCCGACACCATATGACCAATCTCCACGAAAGCTGTCACAGCTACGTGTTTTTTCACCGAGAAAGTTTATGTGCTGTTAATTTTGCTGTAACTCTAATAAATAGCAATGCAGAACAAAATTGCGCTTCATTTTAATTCAATTCCCATTCAAACTGCGATCCACGCGTGCTTCATTGCTGCTTTACCGTGTTACGCTGAGCGTTGCCGTGAGACGCAGGGCGCGGCCCAGGAAAACCGGACGGGTGCGCGTGACGGAATGAGACGGAGAGTGACAGAGAGTGACGGAGAGAATGTTGGAGACAGACTCAGAGAGATGGCGCGCATAAGAAAGAGCGAGAGGGAGAGAAACCAAACGACTGCGCATGAACGGGCTCAGACCTGCAGGCGACGTCCCTGTCTCTGTCTCACGGTCAGGGACTACGGGGGTACGTTTGGTAGCACGTAGACATCTAAGCATGACATTCAGAAATTTTCATTAGATGAAAAAAGTTTTAAACCCGTTTGAAGCGTCTACGACGCAGCATTCAACTAGACATAAATATCCAAATAGAGTCAAACGGAGAAGTGAGAGCGTAGGCTTTCGCGGCTGGAGACAGTATTTAATTGGCTGTCCGGGTGACGCCACGTCCATGGCAAAGGTGCCGAAGTGTAGGTCGCCATTCTGCGACCCTCCTCAGGGCGTAATACCCATTAAGCCATTCTGCAACCTTTCGCATAGGGTACTGCCTATTATGCCCTGAGGAAGGTTGCAGAATGGTGACCAAAACGTCGGCACATTTGCATGGACGCGGCGTCACCCGGACAGCCAATTAAATAATAATACTCAGCGGGAAAGTTAGGAGCTAGGAGAAGTTAGAAACTAGCCTTATATAGGTTTCACAAAATCCCAGAAAAAAGTACGTTACAGCAAGCCTATTCTCTCACAGTAGTACAATATAATTGACTAAATACTTATTCATTTCACCTATGGTTAGTAGGACATTATAATTTTTACTGCAGGTCTATAGAAGCATGAAAATCTCTTCCAGTAATTGATAACAAGCCTAGCTTTGTACATAACACCTCATGGTGGTGATTTTATACAGTATATTAATGCATGTTTAGTGTATTTTGTGTTAATACATCATAATTCTATTTTATTTAAGGCATTATTGATATTATATTGAATTTTTGTTCTTAATGTCGCGCATTCTCTTGGAATGTTAATTACGTGACTTCTCATACTGAAAATTGTCTTCGCAAATGTCAATGCGTACGCTATTCATGAGAAATAGTGGGCATGCCTTTCGTTTGTTGAAGCAGTATTTCTTTTTGATACATTAAATTCCGTGCCTTACTTATTAATCTTTGACGAATGTCTTTTAATTGATCGCTTTTATAAGACCATTTACTAATAACTTAACCATAACTGAATTAATGTAAACTGTCTTGTTTATAAAAAAATATTTTGATGGCGCCAGTGCTCGTAATCAGGTAATTAAAATTAAAAAAAGACTCTCCCAATTTGATATCACAACGCCAAGTTCGCAATGAGTGGCGAATTACATTATCCGCAACATCTCTTGGTAAAACACTTCTGACAGTAGCGCTGGAACCTCAAAGCTACTTGCCGTCACAAAAATATTTTAACCTGGTCAATATACGATAAATACTAATAAAAACCATTAAAAATATACATTTGGGAGTGTGTATTAGGAGTCAGTCCTAGAGGACGTTACAATGTCGATGCACATAATGTCAACACCTGAAGTGTCATAAATGAACTATTCCTTTCTAAAATTGCTATAATTATCTGAAAAGTTAGGAACAAATATTTAAAGTTATTTTATTATAGTTAAATTTTCAGTTCTCTACGAAAGAGTTAAAAGTGTGGGATATCCGGGAATAAATGACGCAAACTTTCAAAACGTGTAGAAGGTCAAAGACGGATCACATTTTCTAACGAACATGAGTTAGGAAATTTCACATAAAAAAGGCGCTGTTACGACATTTGTCCCTGGTTAGTATGCAACCCATCATGCGTTTGTGTTTAACGTGTCACAACTTCACACAAAAATATTTCGTCCCCCCGCGAAACAGAAGTGCGTGATGTGTTGTCTATCAATCAGGGGCAATAGCTACAAGTGTAACTTCATTTATAAAATTCTGTCTCCATCCAGCGGGAGAAGAACTCCTCCAACTTCGTGATAAAATAACATGTTTTTCACTTACCGGAATACATAATAATAATAATAATAATAATAATAATAATAATAATAATAATAATAATAATAATAATAATAACAATAACAATAATAAACTAAGTGACTGTTGTAAAACATCATCTGTAACGATAATTATCATCAACTTATATATGAATATTATTGCATATTATGAAAAAATGCAATTTCCCTCGGCTACTCATCGCAAAACATTTTCACATTCAAAAATTCATACAGTCACTGAAGTTTCAACTCTCTACATTTCGAAAAGATGTTCCCTCCCTGGATGCGACGAACGCTTTGGGCAATCCTCCACAGGACGTGCGAAGAAGTAGAGACAAACTGGCGACACCTGGGTTCGACACCAACCGGCTGATCCAGTAGCTTGGCTTCGGAACGGCGCTGCCCTCACTTTTAAGACACGGTGGCTGATATGGCGCCTCCGAGAATTGTCAGAAGATTATTGTAATCTTGAAGAAGAAATTTAAGTGGGGAATTATTAAAGGGAACGTTTTTGGAATTATTCCTTATTCATAGTACAGCAAAAAACACAAATGAATAAAATATAAACAGCGAACAACACGTGCGTTGTGTATCGTTCCTAGAAAGCAGCTGTGCGCCAATGAACACGACAACTGCATAGCCCCAGAGGCGCGGCGTTTGTTATCCCAAACCGCGAGCAAAAGAAGACTCGCGTTCACAAAGCATTCGCAAACGCGCAATCTATCCGAGACACTGGCAGAAGCGCCTCCATCTCCACGCCCGAGCGTTTAATTACACCCACGAACAGCGTTCCCCGGCCCTGCCACGCCCACTCCGCTCCTCCGGCGCTGCGCGAAAAATGAACTCGGTAAATCCCCGGCGCGCGCCGGATTGCGCCTCCAGCCAGGCGCTCCTCGGGGCCTCTCCCGCCCTCCGCGATGAGCGGTGCGGGGCGGGGCGGGGGGGGTGCGGGGCGCGGCGTGGCGGGGCGGTTTCTGGCCCGGTGAGCGCGCAGGCCACCACGAAATATTCGCGTGCCAGCCCAGCTCAACCCCACACTTCCCTTCCACCCGCCAACCCCTGTACAGCCCTGCCGCCGTCTCCAGCCGCGGCCCCTTCCACGTCCGCACGGTCTAGCCGTCACTTCACATTCCGTCCTCCCCCCGCTGAACCACTGTCCTGCTTCCCCGCCCCTTTGGACCCCGTTCCCATCCCAACCCTGCGAACGCTCCTCCGTTAACCAGATCCTACCCAACCGCTCTTCCCGACTCTAACCATCCTCTCTTCCCTCACCTTTTCTTTCACATCCCCTTCCGCCGTCACTAACCCTTTCTCCACCACTCCGCTACCCATTCTTCTCTTTCCCATCCTACGGTTTCTCACTCTCCAAATCCCCACCCACCACTTCCCCTTCCTCCGCAACATTCTTCTGGCTTCCCTTCCCTCGCCACCCCTTTCTCTGTGTAACCTACCTCCATGTTCTATTTTTACGGGTCCCCTTCCTCCACCATCCCTTCCTCCGGTTTCCTTTTTCCGCACCCCCTTTCTCCACCTCCCATTTTCCACCTCCCATCCTCCGGTACCCTTCCTCCGCCACCTTTCCTTCGCCTCCCATTCCTTTGCGTATCCTTTCTCCGCTCTCCATGCCTTCCCTTTCTCCCCTCCCTGCCATCTGCCACTCTTCCTCCGCATCTCTTTTCTCCGGCTTTCCTTCTTCCCACTCCTCTTCCTCCAGCCCACGTACACCTTGTCATCTTCTGCTTCCCCTTCCTCCGTCTCCCTTTCTTCGGCATCCTCTTCCTCCATCTCCTCTTCCACCGTCTTTCCTTCCTCCGCCTCCGCGTGGGAGTAGATGAGCGGCGCGGCGCGTGGCAGAAACTGATCTCGCGGCGGCTGCACGCGGAGATGGCGTATCGATTCTCGAAGAAGCCTCGTCAATTTGTCCTTTGATGGCGAGGAAGTTTCAAAGGCCTCAGATCGGAGTAAAATTGTTCCTCGTCGCGGTTGTAACCTATCGACTCGATACGATGTGTAAAAAACACGAATAGTTGCACGGAATAATCCAAACGCTTTACTTTATTTATTATCTTCAAACACAATTAAAAGCTCTGAGACGTACTATGGAGCGAAGTGCACATTGTTCTTCAATTGAATGTTGAACGTACGTATTGCTTTAACACTCACGTGATGCGATGAAAAAGGATCATAGCATCACTTTTATCCCACCATACAAAATGCACTGTTCTACTAAATAAACGAACATGTTCATTAACTAACATTTCTTTGAATATTAACTTATTAGAAACGTTTCCTGTATTCATTGATGTTTATTACCCCAACATTGGAAATACTTACAAAACTACAGAAACCGTCGAAATATAATAATATCTGCCAGATGATTTGATCCACTGAAAACTGAAAATTGCTCTGCAAAAATAGACGAAGACAAAATAGAAAAGGAACTGAGTATGTAACTTAAGGGTTATTGCATAAAGCGAAGACAGATATCCCTACGCGCGGAGTGAAATACCTTCGTTCTGCTCGGGGCTTGTCACGTGATGACACTGACTCAAAATATACACTTCGTGTTCGAGACATATGTCGCGTCTTGCAAGTTGTCTGCGAAAATTTACAGTTTTCTCAGTTAACTAATGTTTTGTGTAAATGTGAAAACTCATTGCTGTGGTATCTGGTTTAAGTCTTAGAGCGAAGAGATTTTTACGAATATTTAATTACTTACAACTTGTGCTGTCACGTGTGTATGATACAAATTAATGTAGTTTATTAAAATACAATCTACTATTTACTAAAACGAGCATATTGAATGTTGGGTGAATATTCTACTAGATATATCAGATAAATAACTGGTTTGGATATCTACAAGTAATTGTTAATTAAAGTCGATCATATATTTATTTTAAAATTACGTATGACGTTGGGCGAAATAATTTCGTGTTATTTAGTAATCGTAACATAAGATGCACAACAGTGCCATATAAAGAGAAAGGTGATAATAGTCATACTAAATAAAGTTTAAATAATTGTTACCTACATATCTAATTGGTCAGCGTTCTCTCTTTTCATGACGCGACCCCAGGTTCAATTCCCGGTCGCGCAGGATTATAGTGTGCATTTTTCTGGCAATGTCCCAGTATGCTGTTTGATAATAAGAAAATTCGCTTTCCAGGTTGATAAAAACAGAATACGGCGTAGGGATGTCTTCGTGCTAACCCATGACTGCGAGGCCGGGACGCTGCTTTTAGGCCATGGCCAGAACGCGGGCTGTCGTGCGGAGTAAAGACAGACTATCTAATTAGATATTCATCCAAAAGTAAAAGGGTTTTAATTGAAGGTTATGTAAGGTGTTCTTGAAAACGGTGTGCTAGAAATAGAACATATAGGGCTAGTTTCAAAGCTTACGCGGACAAAATGTCCGTTTTTATTTTAAATCCGAAGTTACTTAGAAATTACTCGTTAAACGATTTCATCATACTAAAAATATAGTCTCTGACTTACTTCCGTTGAATATACTAGTTGTTAACAGACAATTATAACTTAAATACCATAATCATGGTCAGAATACCATATATTAAAAATTTTAATCCCTTTTTACTTGCATTTACTATGTACGAATTACTTTCTCGCACTTTCTTCGTAAGAAGATAAAGTTTTGTAATCGTGTGCCGGAAAAGGCAAATTTTCGACAGAATAACTCTTATTGCCGGGCCCTGGCAACGAAAAAGAGGCTAAATCCTGTTGTTATATACAGTTAATTACAATACACTTCTCTCCTTAACACATGGTGTAACCAAAATCAATGTTTTGTGGGTCCTTGATACAAAAAAATCGATCGACAGCGAAACGTCTTCTATCCGTGCGTCCGTCAATCTTTGGTGAAGAGTAGCGTCTAACCCGGTTGGTCGATTTTCTCCAAAATTGATATTCCCCATTCGAACTGAACAAACTCAAGGGTTTGGGAGCTTCAAACGGAAGTCTCTATTTTTGAGGGTACTTTTCATGAATCCTCAAAAAAAGTTTCAAAGTTTTCTCAAAAATGGCTTAAAATGTTTTGATGAGCCTTTGTTCTCGTATAGCGTAAAGGACGCTTAAGAGAATAGTGCAGGTATCATATTTGTTTAAATCATAGATTTTTTGACTATTGTAATAATGCAACTTTTTTGGGCGTCATCCCACAACTATAATATTGATTGTTTCCCTTAATAAGATCTATTTCTTTATGATAGATCTTGAAATATTATCATGTACAATTTTTCAAAGATATGAGTAGATATTGCGTGATTTTGGGCGAAATATAGACAATTTTTATTTTTTAAAACATTTTTCTTTTAAAAGGTCACCAAATAGTTCCTTATATTTCTCCTAAAATGTACCAAGAAACAATAACAAATATGGCGCTGGTCCCATTTTCGGCTATCTTTCAGTTTTTTCGAAAATTGAAAAAAGTTAACATTTTAAAACTAGAAAACTGAAGATAGAGAGTGAATTCAAGTCCTCTGTTATACGTAAGAAGAATTTTTTTTCTAGATATGTAATCACTGTGTGGTTTAAATGCAATTTTCGATCCAAGAAAACGCTAAGCTATTTTCTAAAATTGACTCTCTATTATAGCACTGTCAATAGCATAGGTATTAATTACATAGGAGATTTATTAATTGTAAAAGTAATAACTTGACATTTGGTTGAGTGTACTGGTTAGTGATTATTGTTCAGCATTGTTGAAATCAATTAAGAATCTCTTGAATTAAAGTTGAGCCCTTTACAGAGACTAATGATAGAAAGAGATTAATGCCATCAGCAAATAGTAAAATCATGCTATTGTGTTCGATTTGGGGGAAACCATCAACAAAAATTGTTAACATTAAAGGACCACCACTTTGCCCCTTGAGGAACACCAGAAGTAACAGATTACATGTGAGTAGTTGTTTTAAATTCTTACAATCTGGGATCGATTTTCCAGGTAGATACAAACCCATTTATGTACCTATCCTTTTATTCCAAAAGCATGTAACTTTTGTTTTATGATATAATTGACAACTCCATCAAACTCCCTATAACATCAGAATAGATTGAGTCAACTTTCTATTGCCTAGTTCGTGTTGAATATAACTTTCATAAATGAAGAGACTATTTGTAGTACTTTTATCAGTACAAAAATCGTATTAGCAGTAATTAATGTCTCGTTAATAAGAAATGAAATAACTCATTAATCTCTCGTTAAACCGTTAAAGCCGCCAATCCTAACTCTATACTTTTAGTTGGGACGATTAGAATTTACTAAATTTTTTTTCAAGAATTAGAAGGATGAAAGGAATGAGAAGGAATTAGTAAATAAATATGTTTATTGCTTTCACACAAGATTTATCACATGCTTCATAGATTGGGAATATTAGACTGTTGGAATATGACCTTCAGAGAAGGAACGATTAAAAAATATCCACAGATGTTAAGTAATATAGTATTTAATGGTTGGTTTTAATCTTGCTGGAATCAAATCGGCTGCAGTTGATTTGTTTATATGGAGTTGGATCTGCTAAAATATTTTTACGAAATTTTTGCTTGAAGTTAATGCAATTTTATAAAACAAATGTTCATCAACGGATCTAATATATATTCTTTCATTTTTCCGCGTATAGTGCAAAGAACTGATAAAATAGCGTTTAAAAAAGTATAATTTTCGTTCAACTCTCTGAATTTTAAAAACACTCATGTAAGAAATAATAAAAGATCATATTAATTTTTCAGCGTCCTTCGACCAAAGTGAGTAAGCTCAAGCGGCTGCGCAGAGTAGTGGTAAAGCGCACGACGAGTTAACTCCGTGGACCTGAGCTCGAGTCTCGACGTAGAGAAAAAAGTGTATGTTCGAAACACTTTTGCAGGTTCATGTGCTTGTTTATTAGTGCGGAACGGCTACAAATAATGCAAGAAACTATACGTTATTGTAGCATCACGAGATAATTCCTTGCCTACTTGTAGTAAAGATAAAGTACTATAATGCCACAAAAGTGGTATTTTATTGAATGTTCCGGTGTAATTCATAATACTTAAGGTAAAAATCAATTCATAATATTTCATCAAATCACTTAAACTATCACAAAAAATTTGCACACTTAGGCGACATAATAACGAAAAAAAAACGAACCAACGAATGTACTGAAAATTATTAACTGAACGTTTTGACACTAGTTTTAAGGTAGATTTATTAATTTGCAAAGTAAACAAAGTCTTTCAGTGAAATCTTCTCCTATTTTAACATTCGTGACTAACTGCAATTTCCTTGCACGAAAGGTCACGGAATGTAGTATGAAATGTTACGATAATGGATCTGTGTTTACCATCCACTTTTACGCCCACCCGATAGAACGGGTCGATATGAGTTTTATAAGGCCAATATCAACTTTCAAGCTTTTCTATATCTTTAATTTTTAGCACACTTGAGGTCTATATTGACCTCTGTACAACTTCAATATTCTAGATGTTGAATATTAAATGTTTTAATATTCTAAATATTCTAATAAATATTTTACTATGATCCAAAGTGTGATAAAATGAAAATTTAATTGATTATCTTTATCAAAGTTCTCGTTTCACTTTAATGCGTGCTTTCCTCTTAAAAAGAGAAAATAACACATTTTATGGAGAAGCAATACTTGAATAACACAAAAAATTAGTACATCGTGTAAAATTAAATGAACTTTTTTTATTTCTAAACATCACATCTGGCTTCCATCTCTACTTGCGAAAATACAAAATCATATGAAAGAAATAATATCCCAGGAAAAAATAAAGAAAAATAATTAGCATATTCTGAACATTTGTCACAAAAGTAATGCGATGTCGAATATGGTAAATAATTCGCCCATATCATCTCGATACTTTGTATAGAATGTTGTTTTAAAGGATAATTACAGACAAGTAAGCTATCCGATCAAAATTGGGCCTCTTCAATCAATACTTTCCGATAATTGCAATTTTTTCACAAAATTTCATTGCAAACAGCACAGAGTTGAGATATTAAATTTGTGTGTCCCAAAGGAAGTAATATTCAAGAAACAAAACGAAAACTGTTCGTATCTGTACAATGAGCGGCTCTAGATCAGTAGTTTCAAAACAGTAGGTTCTAAGGGAACATAAGTCTAAGAAGCGTTTAGTTTAGGATTCAAGTTCTATGCCTCATAGGGTTCAAGAGGAGTGGGGCTGGGATATAAAGCCACTTTATTAATTAATACTAAATATAATGTTAGGCAAATACAAAAGATCACTTTGGCCGCGTCAGAACGTGACCATTAGACACTAGTACATGAGATGCCTAGCATTCAGAGGCAATGTCACATTTTTAACTTCTTTCTAGGGATTCTTTCCAGGCGACAACCTTTTACATCCCGAAGTGATGCATATTTCGCCATACATTAGAGATCATCACACTTGCTGGCTCCTATGATCTTGGATCAGTAGAACGCGAGGGCCTCCGCAACCACATATACATGAGAGAAAAGGGACAAACAACCATGCCCAATGCGAGGCTCGAAAATATTTAAACTTCGAAATTTATCATAAAAATACGTTCTCAGAACATGATGCAATTCCAAAACCTTGCGATATATTCCAAATGGTAAAAGAGGAGTAAATTTCGATGATTTTTAAGTCTGATATATAAAAATCGCTGATGAAGTATTTTGGGAAGTGCATTTTAATTTTTTTCCTTTTTATCTTCTCATCGCAAAAACTAAATTAATCGTTGAAGATTTTTATTTTCCTTTTTATATGCACACAGGAGGCAATCACCAGGTGGTTACGCTGGGTCGTTTGAACCGTTAAATAAACAACATGCATGTAAAATGGGAATGCATTAATATCAAGTGAAAAAGCTACTACAATTAACTACTCGTGAAACAATCAATTTTTAATATCCCGCATTACGACAATTTTTCTATATTATTTATTCATTTTGTAGTAAAAATTTACTGATCATCTTATACTGTTGGGAAGGGAATGTCACGTTCGTGCTCACTGACTGTGCTCTCAATTGGCCCAAGTGTTACCTTAATATCCTATGAAAGCTCTGATCGGTAAAACGAGTAAATATTTTCCCCGGCGTAAGATTACGGCACAAGTTAAAAATACGAATTTCAGGGACGTGTCTGATAGAAAGCGACAAAATCAATTTACCGCATGACTTTCTACAAGCTGTGTGTAGAAGGGGTATAAATAGCCGTGGTCCAGGTTCTCCTAACCCAAAAAGTTAGCAGTTTTTCTACATAACCTGTATTGACAGCGTACATCTCGTATGGTTTTTTGACAAAGAATGTTCTATTAGGTTTAAAAAAAACTGTTTACTTACCTTGAAAATACGGAATCAGCTTGCACATCGCTCCACCAAACACGAAGTTTCTCAGAACTTGTCCCACCAGTGTGAACGGCATGCAAAACACGCCGAGTAGCAAGTCAGAAACCGCCTGAAACGAAAGGAATGGGCATTACTTCATGATTTCATATGCATATTTTTTTTATTTTTCATGGTGCAAAACACATTGATCAAACTTTAATCAAATAAACGTATTTTATGGCGTTATACAATATTCTATCTTAAATGTATGTTAATTTGATTATTTAAAGTCAAACTGAACCGAACAAAGATCAGTAATGAATTATGTTTAATTGTAACAAGTGCTGAGTATCTTAGAGAGCACTCGAGAACACATACCTTTTAATAATTAAAATACTCTGAATATATTTTTAGGAAATAGTAACTTCCAAAGGTAAGAATATTCAGATATCTTGACATTATTAGCACAAGAGGTAGATAATATAATATGTCGGTTATGTCGAGTAGTTCATCGGAAAGGTATTTTTTTATGTTGTAATTCTAAATCAAAGAGTATCACTTCATTGTTTTCAGAAAATTAGTACAGATTAGAACAGAAAAGGTATCGTAACTGTAATGCGACCGAGGTTCAAATTTTCACTGCACGTGAAATGTTTTATTTTAACATTAGACGATAGACGGTGGACGCGAAGACATTTTTTTTCAATGTCCGCTGTCGAGTTGCCCTGGATAGGCGGGACTCCGCCTATCCAGGTGACGGATTGCGCGCATCCTAGTCCCATCCTTGTCTTATCCTACCTCTTACTTAGACACATACAGATACATGCACTACACTAACACACATCTCAAGAGACCGGTCGGGGGCTTAGAGTGTGTCCTGTGCCCGGTGAGCTTACAGCTGGGGTGGTGGCCGGCTGGTGGGAGATATCTGATTGGGAAAATCCGCTGGCCGTCGATAGGTCGGTGCCGGATCTCGCCATACAGCGCGTTAAGATAACCGCCACCTCCCGAGGCAAAACATTCACTACACTTACAGAAATAACGACCTTAGCAGTTAAATCTCCCGCGATCACTAGTAATAAGTCAATCAATCAAGCCATCACGGGCTGCCGGGCCGTTGCAGCAGAGTTTGGGGCAACGCCCGAGCCCACCGCTTCGATCCTCGGGAAACCGCACCCACACCGAGCACACCTGCCGCCGCCTCTTGCCCGGTTATCGCGCCCGCCGCCCAGCTAAGCCTTTGCCTGCGCCGCTGCTTTGAAGTGACCACACCGCCGCTAACATACGGCCTAGTAGATCAGATTCGCAAATGAGCCCAAAGTAAGTGCATTTACGAGTCCACCCAGACTCGAGCCAGTGGCTAGGACGCGGGCGCGTGCACTTGGTTGCGTACGAGGCACGCCCCCGCTGCGTTTCACTGCGATTGCCATCGCTCCTGCTCGTGCGCGCGGCGGGCGATGCCAGGCCACCCGGCTGACCGTTGTCTCCCGTGGGGACCGTATGTAAATTGGGGGACAAATAATCCCTTGATATTTTCTCGCCAAACTTACTTTCGAATTCGACATAAATTGGGGACCAAACCAACCCGGGTAAGGAAAAGGTCTAATTGAACATATAAGCGCGTTAAACGGGCCGCCGCCATTTCGCTGTGGAGTCCAGCTTTTTCTTATGGGTTGTTAAAAACCTTTCAAACTCACCCCTATGTTGCAATGAGTCATAAAGGCTCATTGCACAGCGCGACCCTCGAGTCACGCTGAATTATAATACTTCGAGGCAAAGAGTGCCTCTTTCGCGCATTCGACACACACAGCTGCACGCGTGCCGGTATCCCTGCTCGTAACCGCCCCCGAAAGGCACCCTTCCACCCTTTTGTGCAACAATGGGTGATGGACAGGTAGAACTGTTGCATTAAGAGGCGACAGCAGCCCACTATAAATCAAGACAGGCCTATGGAAAACTTCGCGTGTAACTTTCCGTTAAGTTTTGTTTGGTGATAGGTCGGGCATCGTGCGAGAGGGGTGGGGGTGGATATCGCAGAGGCAAAAGGGCGCTAGAAGGTCTGGACAGATGGAAATAGACCGTCGAAGTGAGCGGTCGGCTCGTAGATTTGTTTGTAATTTTAACGGCGACTACCGCCTCACGAGAAACTGATAATAATCTCGAGCCAGTAATTCCGATAATTCCAGCTTCGGAATTTATTCCGAATGCCGAACTAGAACAATTTAAATAACACCCTTCACGTATACGAGGGGGTGTGCAGCATTGTTTCTCGGCTGCTAAACACTACGCGGTCCAGGCGACGTTTGACGACCTGTGACCCGCGCACCGAACGTTGCTGCCTCAACTCCACTGAACCCTGGGCGGTCTGCGACTCAACCAGGCGCAGCGTTCCTGCCGGCTATCGGAGAAGTCCATGGCTATTGGGCGGGCCATCTGCTGCCACCGACTGCCAGTTGAGTGTGTACTCCTTTCGGAGTTAAGTATCTAAATTCCAGCCATCACATCACTGTAAGAACAATAAACGTGTACCCGTCGTATTGATCGGGCGATTTTACTTGGAAAATGTTTATTATTTAAGTAATTAGTAAATGCAATCTCCGACCCAGGGCGCCTACTCCTGCTGATGTCATTAACTGAAAAAAAGGAAGAATATAAAAATGGCAAGATATGCAGAATTTCCTTTGTAAAATACGCTGCAAAATACGAAAGCAATAAAAACTTTATACATCTTCTATGCAATTGACAAATACCTAATACACGCGGTCATGTTAACGTTTGGTTGGCAGGAAGATATCCCCAAGCCGTATTATGGCTTTCTCAATCTGAGAAGTGAATTTTTTTATCGCACACAGCGACACATACTGGAACATAGCAAGGAAAACGCACAGTATTGCCGCGAATCGAACCCGGGGTCGCTTCATGGATAGCGAGCAAGCTGACTAATGAGCTAAGCCGCCAGGCCGAAAATACTAGTACAAGGTCTGTCCCAAAAGTAAGTTGAATGACCTTACGCCTCCGAAGCAAGCCACTAGCAAGGCGAGCCAACTGACGTGAATGGTTGTGTGGGGTTTAGGGAAGCCAAGGACAAACACGTCAGTCGTCTGCAGGCTCTTCGACCAACCCCGTTTCCCACCACGTTTCAAGGACCAGCGTTACGCAATAAAATTTTGTGTTGCGCTCAAGAAAACGCGCGCTGAGACCGTTGCCATGCTATGGGATGCTTATGACGATAGCACCATGTCCAACAATATGATATACCGCTGGCACAAGATGTTTCGAGAGGGCAGAGAGGACGCCGAGGATGAAGACCGCTCTGGACGCCCGTCAACGTCACATTTCGATCACAATGTGAAGAAAGTGAGGAACATGCTGAACTCTAATCGACGCCTGAGTGTTAGAATGCTGGCAGATGAGTGTAATATCCCTAAAAGTACTGTGCATCGCATTGTTACCGCAGATTTGGACATGCGGAAGATCTGTGCGAAGATGGTTCCCAAGATGCTTTCCGATTAACAAAAGGCTGCTTGTGCAAGGATTTCGCGTGACCTCTTGGAGAGGTGTGAAAATTATCCGAATTTTTTGGATAATGTGATTACGGGTGACAGAACATGGGTTTTTGAGTATGACCCGGAGGCCAAAAGACAAAGTGCTGAGTGGCGCCAGCTTCTCCGCGCCCAAAAAGGCGAGAATGAGCAAGTCCCGTGTAAAGGCCATGCTAATTGTGTTTTTCGACAAAAGAGGCATTGTCCACTCAGAGTTTGTGCCACAAGGACAAACAGTGAACAGTCATTTTTACTTGCAAGTCCTGAAAAGGCTCCAAAGCAGAGTGAAACGCGTCAGAAAGGAGATCGCCAGCACTTCGCGTCTTCACCATGACAACGCGCCGTCGCACACCTCCTTCATTATTAGAGAGTACTTAGCGAAACGCGATGTGGCAACATTGCCCAAGCCGTCGTACAGCTCCGACTTGGCACCACTGGACTTCTTTTTGTTCCCCAGGATCAAGAAGGAACTCAAGGGCCACCATTTCGGGACTTTGGAAGTCGTCAAAGAAGCAACGACGAGGTGCTTGAAGGAGGTCTCCGTCGACGCCTTCCAGGGTGCGTTCAGCGACTGGGCAAAACGCTGGCGCAGGTGTTCCGAAGCGGAAGGAAGATACTTTGAAGAATTTTAGTTACTTGTAAATTTATCTGCAATAAATCTTTTTTTCTTGGATTTATTCAACTTACTTTTGGGACAGACGTTGTACTATTAAAACAAAATGACGCAAATTATTCCAGTAACAAATGATTCAATAGAATGAAAACCAGCTTTCACCAAACCATTTTAAGAAACAAATATACCAGTCTTACGTCCGGAAAACTGGGAAGGGAGTTGTGTTTTAAAAAAATGGTTATGAAAATGTTCGTCGAAAATAACAGCCATTTCCTTCTTTCGGTTTTTCCATTTTTATCTGAAAGGGGGTGAGGTAGTTGGTCCCCAATTTACGTATACCCTTCTCTGAGTCGGTCCCCAATTTATCTTTGGTTAAACTCTTATTTTTTCTGGTTCCCAAATTCGTACTTACGCCACCCGTGAGCACATCCCCAGTCGCCGCCACCAGCGCCCTTTCCTTGGTGTTTACCTGGGCGCCCGGCTTATCCTCGGCCCTTGAACAATGAATACCGCTTGCTGATGTCACCGCTTGGCAGGCGAAAAGAACGCCGCAGGAGCGATTATGTAAATTATTCATAAAATAGTCTTAGGCGCGCATGCAATCATTCACCCTTCATTATTCGATCAACATTTTACACTCTCTTTTGTCATTTAATTTTAGAGTATACGTAAATTTGTGTCATTTCATATTTTCTTTTAATCATTCCGCATGGTAAATCTCTCCTGCCGATCCCCTCTCCCTAAATTTTCAGAGCAGTTGAACAAGACTGTAGTCAAGTAGAGTGAGGTAAGTTGAGGGGCTGGATTGAGCCACGGAAACGTAGGTATTTCATAACAATCACTCAACCATGTCTCTCCGTCATGACTTCGTGCCCGCTCCCCTTCTGCTTGCCTTGCCTGCTTTTTTTAAAAACATTTTTAGTTTTCTAAATAGGATACGTGGTTCACATTAACAATGCAAACTTTTTCACACATTTTATGCTTACTATCTATTTTCAAATATTACGCTATTACCTCTTTACAACTATTTTTGTTTTTAGATAGAGGAAACCCAGTGACACTTCAGAAAGAATCATCCAAATTTGTAAATTGTATGTAAAACCATGTTTGGGAAATCTATACTTTATTCTGGTGGTTTCTGAATGATTTGTCTTGATTGTATTAGGACAGTTGTGGATTAAGTAATACAATTTGTGGGATAACATAGTGATATGTGAATGATAGCTTTTATTTGAATTTATTTTGGAGTTGTTTGTGATTAACCAGGGTGCATTGATTATTGTTCGCAGCAATGTTTTCTGCATGACCTGTATTTTATGGATTCAGAATTCTTAGTAATTAATGCATGAGTTGTTATCTTTTGTGTGAATCCAAATTGATGTCTGAGTGTGATGTCATCTTATAGAAATGGTAGAGGAGGCAGAGTTTTTATTTGCGTCAAAGCAGGCATGAATGTTAGATTAGATTGGGTCAGTACAGAGTTTGAAATGATGGGAATAGAAATTACTAGTTCAGGAACCATATTAGAAATCATTGCATGCTATAAAGCTCCGATCGACAGTTTCGGTATTTTAGATGACATCATTCAGAAAGCGGGTAACGAAATGGCCATTCTTTTATTATTGGAGGCGACTTAAATATTCCTAGCGCAATCTGGGAGGGAGCCGTGAGCGAGGGGCAAGTCCTAACACTAGTGAACAGTCTAGTTTGGGACAGCGGATTAACTCCGGTAGTTCGGAGCGGGACGCGGCAGGACGCGATTTTCGATGTCTACTTAATTGGATCGAAATAACTTTTCATATCTTGAGAAGTTGTTGACAGCATTAGCGATCGCAAAGCGGTTCTTCGTGACTTAAATGAAAATATTTCAAGGAAAGGCATCACGATAGGATCAAAAGTACGGCAATACAAGAAAGCAAATGTAGACGGGCTTGGAGTTTTTTTTACGGAACAATACAATCGCTTTCTGGGAACCGAGGGAGGTATGGAAGGAGTATGGGGCGCGTTCAAAGATATTATATTCGAAGTTGCAAAAGTTTGTTCTTTGAACATTTATAATACATAATTCGGATCTAGAATACTACAATACAAAAATTAGGCGAATGAAGAGGATAACGTGAAAGGCATTTAATAACACAAAACGCAGTAGCGAACACATGAATACTTTTCGAAATCATTGAAAAGAATTGGAGCGAAAAAATAACATTTCTCAGGAGGCATATTTTAACAATATTTTAGATGGGAAGGGAAATAACTGGATAGGATTTTATAAATGTGTTCGAGGAGGAAGGGAAATAAAGAGGATTGGCCGTGAAGACGGAAACACGCTCATTACTAACGATCAGACAAAAGTTAATGTGTTTAATAAGATTTCAGTACGGGTTTCAAAACTAATACGAACCAGCCACTAATTCAGTGATCTTAGGTTTCAAATCAGTTTAATATTGAAGTGAACGTTCTACGGAATAATGTAAAACCTATGAAAAATGGTAAGTCAAGGAGTCCAGACGACATTTCTACGGACATAATTAAACTAGGGGGTGAGGCAATATTACCGTACCTAGTTAGAATATTTCACGTATCCATGAACAATTCTAATGTACCTGAAGATAGGAAATTGGCTTTTGTTGTACCAATCTTTAAAAGTGGTGACGAATCTATATTAAGTAATTATAGACCTGTAAGTTTTACTTCAGTAGTATGCAAACTTATGGAGCATCTAGTTGCGAGTTACATTAAACAAGAATGGGAATTCCAAAAATGGCTCTATAAAAGTCAACACGGGTTCAGGAGTGGTTATTCATGCGAAAGTCAGGTAGTGATGCTATTTTAGGATCTACGAGATGAATTGTACGCGGGTAAAGGAGTAGACGCAATAGTTATAGATTTTGCCGAAGCGTTTGATGCCGTTCCCCACGATTGGCTTGTACAGAAATTAATTAATTCAAGCATCGATTTCAGGGTGGTGGTGTGGATTAGTTAGTTTCTGCGAGAGAGAAAACAGAAAGACCAAATTTGCCATGAGTGTTCTACCGGGGCAAGCGCTAAGTCGGGAATACCGCAGGGGAGTGACTTTGGACTTCTCTTCTTAGCGTTCGTCAATGATCTACCAGCGCATTTAATCTCAATGTTCGGCTATTTGCAGGCGATTGAATAATATATCGTAGTAAGAATTTAAAAGAGACGAAGAATTGCTGCAACGGGATCTTGCGTTATATTACTGGGCGGAAAATAATGGAATGACTATAAATAACTGGAAAAGCAGATGCATCACTTTCGGCAGGGGTCATAATTTCAGAGAAACAAATTACCATTTAAATAACGACATTATTCCGAGAGTTTCTTAATGCAAGTACCTACGAATCTATTTCTCAGAATAGGAAGAATTTTCTGTATTTTGTTATTTGATCTGTCGTGTCCTGGAGCCTTTATTTAAAGAGTCATTTCTATCATGTTTAATATTTTCGAGAGGGAATGTGACTCTGATTCTGGAGAGGTTGGATTCTGATTATGAAAGGGTTGCTGTTCGTGGGTAGATAGTGAATAGAGTTTGTGTGTAGTATTTTGTAAAATAAGTCAATAGATTCAATTGCTTCTTAACTTCTAGGCTTTGTTTGATTTACTGTTCTGTAGTTCATTGACTATTATGTTATTGAGTAAATGTTATTGAGTATTATGTTATCAATCTGAACTGTATTACTAGATCCGTGATGCAATATGTTAATTAATATTGCAACAGCAAGTATATCAATCACATCATTCAACGTGTGAACTAACAATTCTCTTGTTACAAATGAAACAGTGCTCATGCAACTGGCCACGGCATTTCTGCCAATATGGGTCTCAACTCCCCTGCTAACGACGCTCCCTCAGCTGAGGCGCCCTGCGTTTCCAGCCTGGAACATCATCAGCTGCCAGATCTACTGGACAACACATGTAAACTATTTTCTGTTTCAGCACTACGTGGTTATTTTTATGTAAATTCCACACAGTGTATTCATGTAAATGCATTTACTATTATTCACATGCTTATCAATCGCGGTACTATATGCCTATCTTTAACTGGTTCTTTCATTATTAAATTCACTGAAATATGCTTACATGCAGCATAGTGAGCTAATCTTTTAATTTGTAACTATTCAATCAGTTCAATTATACATCGTAATTTACATTTTTTGTGTTTGATTTTGTGTGATGGTGACTTTTTCCCACTCAATTAGCTTTCCAGCAAGAAAGAAGTTCCATAGGCTTTAATCTAGAGTGGTCTTTCAGAGTTTTGGAAGGAGTGACGGAGAATTGGTGTGTATTTAAATTAATCACCTCTGAACCCACTGTCCGCTGCTTACATCAACTCCGTCAATGGCTATTATATCATTTTTCAATTTGTGCGAATTGTGTGAGGGTGTGTGTTAGATTGTTTTGTTGGATAGTGCGTGGGTAGTGAATTTTGTGTTGTAATTATTATTTAATGACGTGTTCTCTACACTGTGTCCTGCTGGCGCTCTTCTGATGAGGGAGGCAACCGGTTGCGGCACGGCGCGGCGCCAAGTGGACTCTCGCCGTGTGCGTGTAGTAGCACGCCGCGCTGCCTGAGATCGCTTTGCTACGATTTTCTCTCTTAAGGTGCGGTGCTGTAGTGCGTGGCAACGTTCTGCAGCGCAGCGTCACTGCCCGCACACCATTCTCCAAGCGCTCCGACTACGAGCGGGAGGACGTCCGCACTTGCGTAGCCGAGTGCAACGAAGTGGGCTCTCTTGGCTCGTATTTGTCACTCTATTCGGAGACAGTGCCCTCGAGCTTTCCTTCAGTTGCAGCCGACACTGAGAAGTCCACAATTAGTTCGGTCCTGCCCCGCGCGAGCGCCAGGTCCGGTCGTTTTGTCCCCATCACTACCTGGTGTTCTCGGAGCATCTGCCTCCCCGCCGTGATGGCCGCCTCTTTGTCAATTGATCCAATGTTATCATGACGGGCTCTCTATAACTGCGAGATGTAATGGAGCTCCGTCATCATGTAGCTAATTGTCTCGACTGCCCGATGGCCCTGAGGCCATGTGCATCCCATGCAACACACGCTGGTGGTATTACCGGGGCAGTGGTTCAGGGCCGAGGAAGAATTTAGTCTCGCTGGAAAACGGAAATTTATACATCCGCATGTCACGGCCGGATCGGAGAAAATGGTTGGATTTCATCCCCAGCCCTCTTAGGCTACTTGCATTTATTCCTTGTGTTGCCTGGCCGAACCATCGCTGGGAGTGCGTTTCATGGAAAGAGTCGCGCAAACGTCTCACCAGCAATAACCGGTCTTCGTCCCATATCGTTACACGGCCAGCTCCCCCCTCCTCCATCCGCGGCTTGATGGTTGTCCTATGGGGGAGGGGTGTCAGGGGCCTGTGCTGTGGGGGCTGGCCCGTTAGGTCCTAAGGCCCCGTGCTGCTGTTCCCCGGCTGTGAGGTCTCTCGGGAGACGGCACGCTGCTCGGGGATGGTGGCGCCAGATTGGGTCGCGCATGCACTGCCTTCTCCTTCAGCTGCAGTGGCGTCGGGCCTAGCGGTACCTTTCCCATTCCGTACGCCGGGGGAGGGAAGGAGTGGGTTACGTTAAACGAGATTATGGGTGAGCTGTTGTTGTTAGTGAACCCCCATTCGGCTTTGAGTCGTTTAATCGCCTGTCGCGCTCGTGACCAGAAAATGTACGATGGACGCGCCGACCATTGAGATAGTCAGCTAGGAGCTGTGGGGACGCAAGCCATCATACAGTGTCCCGCTTCTGTTAGGGCGTCGTCCAGTGCTTGTTCTCTAATCAGGGGGTCTCTGCTGGTTAAGATTTTAAATGCGGAGTCGACTCCCCAGAAGTCAGATTCGGCACTCAAGTTCTGGTGGGCTATTGCGCCGTCCTTTCTGTGCCCGCACAGGAAGGAATAAGAAGCGCGATCTGGTAGAGAGACGTATCTTTTTATGTGCGCTCTTTGCATATTAGGACGCAATAATGAAAAGCCCTAGTAGGTCTATTTGGAGGCGATAGACGGCAGTCGGGAATGGGGGACGAAACCAAAAATGGACTACCGGTTTCACAGAAATGGGAACGTTCTACTACGAGATAATCTCAGCCTTTTGTTGCACTAAGAATATTATTTGTTGTGTTATATAAGTAATATGAACATAATAATGTGCCATATACGAATTGAGCAGTTTACGTAAGAGGTGAGGATCTGTTATGGTTAATAGATAACGATGGTGATAATGATAATCTATTTGAAAAGCCAGGTTGAATACTGTGAGAATTGAATCGATTATCAGACTTCTCTGAAAAGTTTTTTCTTTGTGAGCAAAACTTTGGAAGACTTCTATTAAATAGTAGAGTTAGCCATTAGTTGCATGTGAAATGCAAAAGATGCGAGTCCCTAAAGATATACTATGTAGATGTATTTTTGGATTTGTAGACGTTATTAAGTATACGTGTGCAAAATATTATTGCAGAGTGTCATTGTATTTATAAAACGTTTTCACGTGGTAGGAATATGGTAACCAAAAATAAATATAAGCCATGAATTGAATTCTAAATGTCATTTTGAACTAATAATAGTAATAATAATAATAATAATAATAATAATAATAATAATAATAATAATAATAATAATAATAGCAACAACATTGTCATTGTTAGTGGAGAGACTCAGGCCACACGACGTGTTCTTCCGGCAGTCCTTGCATGGATATACGTCAGCACAAATGTAAATATTGAATAGCTAACTCTACTCTTAAGGCTGGAAGTGCTAGGCAAAGAAACATCCAGATATGTGTCAACGATTGAATAAAATTAGCACATTCATAAAAGGGAAAAATATATTCAAAACAATGTATTTTTATGTTATGAAGCCGTATGTTAATTTTAAAGCGACTCACTTAACTTTAGATTCCAAATTGATTCATACCCTCGTGTATTTCGAATATTTCTTATCCTAAAGAAATTCTATGTATTTTAAAACATTAAAATATAATAAATGAGAAAGTATTATAATTAATATACAAATTCTGATTATTAATATTATTTATTTAACGTAAGGTTGTCACATGGTATGGTAATTATAACTGATCGTGTAAAACAAAAACTCGCTTTATATATTCCAAATACTATGTTATTTTATATGTATTTATCAGGATCTCTCTTTGATCCGCAGCAATAACAGTTGAAGTAAACCAGCAATCTTTCGCATTGGTGAATTGGTTAGAAAGTGAGAAAGTGTTCCTTTTCTTTTTAAAGTCTGTAGATGCCCGTCTACATGTGATGCTGATGTTTTTAAGAACTCTCACATCGTGCAGACCCCTTAAAAAAACAATTCGCAGCGGAGATCACTAGGAACACAGGTGCAGCCATTTGGAAAAAGGAAGTGCACGTAACAGTGAATTAGGTGAGGCAATGGCCACCATTTGAGAGCCCTAGTTCGCACTGGGGTAATATTTTTCCACCCACGGAATTGGGAAATAAACAGCGAACAAGTCAGAAAATGAACATCTGGAAGATAGCGGAGTTCTCAATTAATTGAAATATAAACACTTTCGTAATAGCATTGAAGTTTCTTTATTCTCAAATTTCCTGGGCCCAAAATCTATCAGGAAATTGTTTTTAGAGAAGAATGCAAAAAATTATTGAAAGGTCTGTAATATACAAATAGATTTCCTTCTTGACCTCGTGTCAAAATGTGTGGCAACAATATTTCATCATAACGTTCTTTCATTAAAGCTAGAATTACCAGGGTGTCTCAGATATCCGCCGATCAATGTTTGTTTTTTATATTTTCAACTTTTTAGAGAGCTAAATAGTAGTATATTATACTATAGGATAAAAATATAATTTATCTACGAGACAAAGGTATTACCTTACGAGCGACGATAGGTATTGTCTCGAGGTGATAAAGTACCTTAGCATCGTGTGTAATATTTTGTTTTCTTCTTCCATTATTTTTCGTAATTACGATTTAAAAAACACGATATATCTTTAGTACCTAGTATAGTCGGGAAGGGTTTGTGAGACTGAGACTTGATAATAACTGTTGACATTCATTGTACATAACTGTTACGCGCGAAACATAAATCGATATGTGGTAGAAAGATGTGGGTGACCTATTGCGCATCGTGTCCGACTGTGCAAAAAAATCGATGCGCCAGAGCAACCCGCCAATATCTTTCCACAATGAATCGAAGTATCTGCAAAATAGCATGTAGAATGCAATCATTAGCATGCATTTAGATCTGTACAACAGCGCATTCTTTGAGCTGTATCGTAAACTACTTCAACTGGTAGTAGAGGATTAGATGCTTATTTCATGCTAGAGCGCGTATAAGGAAATGAGAGGTGATAAAACATTTTTTAACTTCCATGGGTTATAGAGACGTACTGTAACAGCATTGTATAGACAACTAAGAAGCTGGTTTAAAATTAAGAATAAAATAAATTAATGATATAGTTTATGAATTTTTCGGGGAATAACGAAATAATCTTCCAGTCAACAGGGAAATTAAAACACCTCTAGATAAGATCCCTGCGACTCTTGCGTTACTCTATAAATAAGATGTCTTGCGAACTATCGGCATGGACATTTACTAGTAAGTATACTATTTTGTAAACATATTTTTTCACTTAATTCACAACTGACGGTTTAGACGAGTAATGTTTCGTACGTACAAATAGCACGATAGAGTGAACTACAACCGACACTTTCGGAAGTGACTGATGTGTGAGACGAAGTTGATATGGACGTATAAATTTTTGTCTATGTCAGGCAAACACACACAACTTAAATATGTGTGTTTTTTACTTACAGAGGGCGAGCCGGGTTTAGAATATTACACCAGGATTTTACCTCTCCGTGTTTACCCAGGCGCCTGGACTACCTACATGTAAAGAACCCCCAAAAAGTAAAATCTCCGTTTCAAACTCACGTGTCATCACGTGACACGTGGCAACAACTAGACGGAGAAGGTAATATCAAATGATGAACATTATACGCACGGTATAGGATCTAGCACTCTTCCGAGAATGTTTTGGTTCAAGAACCAAACAAAATTCTCGTGCATTCTGACAACACAAAATATATGAGAAAGTTATATACTAGGAAAATGAAAAATATAGTTTTTCGGTATCAGGAACACAGAAAACGTTTCATACACAAATCATATTTTTCTGGCAAAAAATTCTCGTTTCTCTGCATCAAAACAATACATAGTGGAAAGAAAGAAAATACTGATATTATAGTGAATATTTTCTTCTGTTGTTAGAAAGGTTTGCCTTAGATTAAGCTAACCTGCAAAATATCGCAAGAAAAAGTAATATTTCCGGCAAAATAATTTTACAATTTTTGCACTTACAATTATTGATCTTATTTAAAGATGTCTTTGAACAGCATACTTCATAAAGACGTGGCGGGATCGGTTCCGGGACAGACTCGTGTAAAATTTGTTGAAATTTGTTCCAACAGAATGCGTTTGCCTACTTCTTAGAGGCTAGTCCAACCCTTCTAAACCAGCCTAAACCCTACCACTGATCTAATTCCTTCTCAATGCTCGCCGCTGGGTAGTGACGCAGGAGCGCGTGTAGCGTGAGAGGTGCATATGCGGAAATGCTGCCTGGCGGTCCTCTTGCTTAACTAACGGTGACGAGAATCGTAATGGAGGATTACTCCCAAAAACTGACTGTAACTGACGGTGACAATCTTAATGGAGGATTACTCCTCAGCGCGCAATGCCCACACAAGGGCTTTGGAGACGCGTTACGTCGATTAAAAGGCAACAGTTTTTTTTAATCTCTAAATTAAAATTTGAATTTATTCGCGATAACAGAAACATGAACACTATTAATTCTCGAAAATTCAGAGAGCACAACGAAAATTAAACCATTTTACACCATTTTAAACGTCCATTGCTCTGTTGCAGGAAAAAGATTAATCACAAATTTCGAGGCATTTTTTAGTAAATTTTGAAAATGTGTGTATGACTCCATGTAAAATTTTCCCCAAAACCAACAAATCCTTTACAAATTCGTAGGTTCTTCATTTCGGTCAGATCGATTGGAGGACATCAGTTTTGAGGAAAATATCAATCGTATAGGTGCAAGCGTTGAGAACACACGGATAGAAGTTTGTATATCAATATTTCGGTATAAAGGACCCAGAAAACATGGATTCTGTCTACAGGGTCCTGTATTCGTGGTAGAGTATGTAATTTACAATTAGAGCCCCACAATCCTAGTTTTTCTAATGAAATATTGCCACCTTCCAGCGTAATTTGGCAATACTTTCTATTTACTAAATAAGTAGG